TTTATCATGCACTACTAACTGTTTATTCTGCTTGTCAACAAGCAATTTTATTTGCTGCGCGATATTAATCTCGGTGCCAGTTTTCTGCTTTTGAATGCATGCGGCTGATAGACCAATTTGAAACTTTTTCTGATAACCGCCTTTTCTGTGAATAACTCAAACAGTTGCCTCTTTCCTGTAATCTTGCCGTAGAATTTGATAGGACAAACAGTCAAGCCGCCTGGCGATGAAGAGAAGCATTTATTGATTATCACTGTTATTTTATTTTGCTACACTTTCGTATTTTGTTAACTGAGAGTTCGTCGCAATCAGTTCCAAATCGGATAGTCGTCCACATGCCCGGAAAAGCACTATACTGCAGTTTCAGCCTGTTGGGCATCATCAGTAGTCTTTTTTCACTGCTGGTCACAACGGCGCCGATCTGCTGAACTTAAGTATTGAAGCTTCCCAGCCAATCAGTATGCATGTGCAAAGGGAATTGTCACAGATGCACCGGACAGCTGAGTGTTTGAACGGATTGGATGGCTGGAGTGCCCATTCTCTAAGCAGTCAACAACAGCCCTAAGGATAAGTCGATGCAGTTTATTTGCTTTTAAGCCACAATGCACACGGCCAGGCAGGGCGTTGAAGTGCGGGTGAAACTTTCGAGGGATTACTCCGCATGGAAGCAATTCCTCAGGTGACGGTTCCACGGATAGTTGTATTCATTCACTTGAAAGAGCCTATACCCAAATTTATTAACTATTATTGACTCCGCCTTTCTAATACTTTAACTGATAAAGTACTCTTAGAATTTGTGTAGGAATCATGTTGAACAACCCAAGCATTTATTTGTTTTACGCGATCCCGATGTATAAAATGGTCAGACCATCAAGTCGAAATGTGCCTTGCAAGCAAGCAACACTGGAGATTCACGTTTTAATTATTTATTTATGTTGAACTCGCTGAATCCCTTCAGTTGACAAGACAGCGGATGCCTTGACAGCATGTAGTTCGCCATAATCGATCGCTATCAAGATACTGACGCAAATGGCAGATTAACGCGAACACGCGTTTGTATTTTCATTGGCGTGGTCTTAATGTTGTCTAATCCAAAATCGCAGAGGCTCGCACACAATGTTATCTGCAATATGCTGTACCTGAGAAAGACTGGTACATTCCTGTTCAACCGTACCAGAGTGATGTTTCGGAATGCGATAATGAGCGACACCACAAGCCGCACCGTTCGTGCAGCAATCACTGGACTTAAAGAGCAGAGGAACGCCAAAATAGAGCAAAATAGTGAATAAGCCCTTGTTGTTAAAGAAGAAGCCACACATGGGTTACGGGTAACTGGACGCAATGTGTCCCGAGTATGATCGCGCGCTGAGTCACATTGTTAGCGTGACTACAGCAGCAAACTTAGCAAGTGAATAAATTTGAGCCACCAGTAAAAACGCTCAGCAGAAATCAGTTATCCGATCGCCACTGTTTTGGCATGCCATTACGATGTCTGTAAGTCAACCCTATTCTGATATGATGGATAAAAATAGAAACCGCTGACAATGAAGAGTAATCAAGTGATAGGCAGCCGAAGCTGCAGACGATAATATACATGGAGAGACAGAACCACTATGTTGAGTTACTGAGTGTAGCAAGTCCGAGCGTGATCTTCCAGTCATCTCTAAGGTAAATAGATCTTTGTACCTCGGTTAGACGGTCATTAATTCTTCCTCTTCTCTTTACCTTCACGCTTAGTTTACTGTGGTCTCTTACTAGGTGGTATTAATATGAGCATCAAGTAACCTACGAGGTATTTGCTTTCCGCTACAGCTACCCAGATCTATTACGATCTAAGTACACGCTGGACACAAAAGCCCTAGGAATCCATGACGACGCATAATACATTGAGCGAGACCAGGTGGCACTTTCAATATTGCTTCATCATAAAGGGTCAGGTAAACTCTAGGTTAACTTTGAGTAAAACAAGCCAGAAAACGATCAATTGGTTTATTAATCTGCTAAAGTCGAGCCTCGACACAACTGCTTCGTAAGGCAAACCGAGCAAGCAAAATGGGAACGAAATCGGCTTAGTGAATGTTGAGATAACCAAGGCGAGTAACTGCTGAAGTAGCGGAGTGTCAGCCAGCAAAGATGTGAATGTATGATGAATGAGTAAAGCTGTCTACGGTGTAACAATCAGGCTTAATCAGGTCATTTGGATAAGCGTCGGTGAATGTATTGAAGATCAATACTACCCCCAAGGCTTGCATGTCGATAAGATGCCTGATCAGTCACCTGGACAATTTTCTCTCTCACGAGTTAGGTATGCAAATGTAAATGACCTCTGGCCTCGTAGCGATTACCGGTAGTTTCTTCGACAAGATGTCACACCCACCGTTAGCTAGTCCACATGGCCACAGTAAGTTTTCGTGATAAATGCGAAATGATGGTCAACAAAAAGATCGACAGAATGCTTTCATGTTCTTACGGAAGCATGATTTCTCGACCAGTTGCAAGCGAATCCCAGGACACCGATTCAGCATGCGTTGCACATCAGGTGAGAGAGAGAGACGAATGACTCGCCTAAACGGAAGTCTTACCAAGGAAAACAGCAGTTTTCGGGCCACACAGGTGCCACAGGTAACTCAGCAATAACTCCGTAATCGCTAACAATAAATCAAGTTGATCCCGACCAGCGGTAAAACTGGTGGGCTGGACTTGCTTCATACTGTCCAGTGCAACTGACAGCTAAGCCGAAGTTAAGAGATGGAGACAATCTAACAAAACGGAACCTAAGAATGGGCGTAGTATATACGTACACAGAACCGTCGCTGATGTTTGGCTTACTGCTCTGATGTCCCGCCATTGAAAGACATCACGTATACAAACATATAACAGAAAACGGAGAAATATGATCTTTTATATCATGGAACGCATTCCACATGGCGTCTATCGGCATTCAGCCAATATGCAACACTTGCTCTCAACGTGCACCCTATTTGCAATTGAGGAGTATTGTGTGTACAGGACACGAGTACAGGATAACATTGAAAAACTATTTAGACTGCCATATCCAGAGATTGGCGCGTGCCCAGTAGACAATATGGGCAGCGTGAGTTCATAAACAGTCTGAATACAATCCGGAGCACAGTTTGTTAGAGATGACTGACTCTTCAATGTGGATCACCAGCGTTGCTTAGTGAGCCAAGAGATCAGACAGTGGACAGGTACTTCCGAAACCAAACCTATCGGGGAGGGAAGACTATGTCAGCGAGCACTGAGACACAACAAGCATTCATTTAGGTGCAGTCCAGTAGACCTAAATTAAACTGATCTGCGTGAGCATAATCTACAATCATCAACGGTAGGAAGAGTAGTATGTAGTATCGGCGGGAAACAGATATGCAACGACAAACCAACAGAGACGAATACAGATCATCCAAATTCGTTGCAGCCTTAACGACATGTAGGACATTAGATTATAGGGCGCGTAAAATGCCCACGTAGATTAAAACCATAAGTTAGCCGCTTAAGAGACGGGACCAATGTGGTCAACATACAGAGGTCTGTTGAACTTTGAAGCAATGAGAGAGAAAAAACGGTCAACTAAGAGAGATGGTCAATTTCGGAGGTTTTATTGAGTTTAGGTATGTTGCGCTCTTCGAAAAGTGGAACAAAGCCATGGTCGGCCGGTGGCACATATCATAGAGCGACATTATGATCAGTACAGCCCTGTTTTGGATGGAACCAAGTCGTGCAGCAGAATAGGGATGCACAACTAATAGGTCAGTGCGCCGCACAGACACTTCGAGTTGCACGCCAGCTAGGCATACACTGAGACTGAACACACCTACCCTGATCCCAACGGTGACTTTTGGGTTACAAAGCAGCAGTAGAGTGCTGACTTCGTGGTCGAAAACGTTTTGGGCGGTGTAGGGAACACACTTGGTTGGCGGATACGAACACACGGCGTCCAGCGAAATGCCGTGTGCCAACCAGAGTCGACACAATTAAACGAGCTGCACACACAGAAGACTGGTAAAAAGCATCCGAGCGAGTATCTAGCCCGGAAATGAGGACGATGCTTACTTCAATCTGACCTGTGAACTAGTAAGATGGAAACCACCAAAAAGTTTTTAATAAAGGGTCATGGAAGAACAAAGCTGCAACGAGTGGGAAATCAAGAAATATCATCGATAACTGGCTGTATTGGCTCTCTCTGACGTACTCAGGACCACTTTGGGACTGCGCGACAGTCGAAGCCGCGGGAGGCGGAAATCCGATCGTATGAAATCACGGATACAGATATGACGCTAAACGCTAAATTAGAGGACGAGTAAGTTTCTCAAGCAAACTAGTTAGCCTACAAACCTGATGGCATAAATACTGGAGCCCGGAAGCGAAACGCAGGTGAAAATTTTTCACAAAGTAATAACAAGCTTCTGAGAAAGGACCAAAGTGATTTTAGGGGAACAAGTTGGTACAAATAGCTCTCAAAGACTCAGAAGCACCACTGAGTAAAACTTGGCAGATGGTAACATGGAGCAAGCTACTTGCAATTTAAGATCCACCGTACTTGTACCAATTAGAAACTGACCACGTTCCGAGTCCAAACCTACGCCAAACAAGTGGACCAGAAGAAAAATTGATATTGGCATGCACAAAAGCAGTTAGTCGGCGTCAAGTCGTTGCAAAACAAGTACCAATGACTTGTCCCAATCAACAGACTGGAAAAGAGCAAATCCTGAAATACGAGTGAGAGCGTTAGACAATGCCAGAAAAAATACTAATGGATGAACAAACAAGCAGTCATGCTATTTTTGGCGGAGAAGTTTTGGGGGCAAGCGACTCAGGACCACAGACGGTGCGTGATTAGAACGAATTTGGTACACGAATTGGATGGCAAAACGTGCGTGTGGCGATGAGAAAAAGTGACCGAAGTCTAAACAGCTGTACATGGTGGCAATGGACTACAGCAAACCACGGATCATGCAATGTTACTATGCAGGGGCACTCACCACCAGTTGTATGAAGCCCAGTGCGACGATGATGTTGCATATCCAATTGGCAGTGATGGCCGTGGAGAGGGCGGCATCTCTCGTCTCCTGTCCAAACAATTCAGGCACGATGAACCAAGGAATGGAGCCTGTGGATTGGAAAGGCGCATGCGACTGAACAAGGAAAATGATGGTGCATTTTGCACGACTGCACATTCAAAGAATATCCTCACTGAAAGTAATCACACACCAAGTTAATGAAAACAGAAATAGTGAGGAGCTTATGTCACCCATGACACATGAGTAAAAGATGAAATATATAATAGGTAGAGAGTATAGTAGAAAGTAAGGGCACAACAACACCAAAAGTAAGGCTGCCAACCTCACGCGACAAGACTTCTCCCGACTTGCTAACTACTGAATGAAAGTGACCCCTGCCGTCATTATTGTAGTCTCTGGTTTCACATTTTATCAACATAAAAGGCTAAAAAGGTCGCTGCAAATTACTTACAAGACGAACAGACATGAACAAATTTACTTAAGTAACAAATAACAGGACTATTGTGAAACACGATAACTGGAGTAGGCTGGATGTCGTGATACAAACTAGGTGAGGGTAAGAAACATACTTCAGCTACTGTGCCACAATACAACAAGATAAGACACTAAACATTACAGAAGACGAAAATTAATAAATCAAATAATATCATACTAAGGGTCATATTATGTACGGAACATGGAAGCGTAACTGGAGAGGGAAGAGAAGCGAGAGAAGGAATGATAAAGAAACTCACAACGCAAACGCCGCTGAGGCCGGCTCCTCACCATGTTACCTAGTGTATCCAAACAAACTGTCCTCCATACCGCAGCTCGGCGGTCAGGTGGCGCCAACCAAAGCCAACTTCTAAGTGAGTGACTTCATTCCTCGCTGCCAAGTCATCATTCTCGTCCATCCAGATCCCGGAAGCGCATAAAACGCACGTCGCAGGAGTCGGTGTGCTGGCATGCGCAACTGGTGGCCCAGCCATCGGAACCTGAAGGGCGGAGTAACGGTGCTGAGTGGTTCACTCGCTCTACCTGCACCGATTACGCGAAGTCCAGCATGCCCATTACCCACTTGGTGTTCTTATCGTATATGAGCTACGCTGGGAAAACAGCGACAGCCTCACGTAAATGACCTCGTTATTTCTGCCGATCTGATAGGCCCCATTTCGCTGAACGCATTGCTGCACTGTAGACTCAGTCTTTCAGGGCGAGAGTGACGTCGCGCCGATGCCACAACTGGCGGAGATTGGGAACAGCACATCGGGCTTTTAGTACACGGTTGATGATCTCATCCTCTATTCCACCGGCGCCAACATAGCTGCCAAGGTACTTGAATTTTCTGACGACTTCTGTCTGATTACCATCAAGAGTCAGTGCAGAAGTGAGTCCATGCTAATCGTGGAGGAGGATATTGCATTTTGAGGGTGCAATGCATAGCGTGAAATTACTGACAACCAGTGCTAATCGGTCCACTGCTGCTTGGCACGTTTGAGATACGTCACATCCTAGGGGAACGTCGTCGGCCAAATACAAGTAAAGAAGCCACTCACGGGGAAACAGCTCCACACCTTGTAGGAAATGCCTAGTTAAAGCAATTTCCATGACTTCGTCAATGGTGAATTTAGAGAAGAGACAGCAGGGGACATTGTCGCACACCACAGGAGACATTAAAGGGCGGTAACAGTTTGTGCGTATAGCGTTCTTATGCCATTTACATATCTACCGGGCACATCGTACCTGAGTAGACAGTCCAAAAAAGGTACATTAATGCACGGAATTGAAGGAACCTGTGATATCGAGGAACACGCCTACCGTGATCAGCCGATAAATATGGCGGTGATTTCAAATGAATATGTCGTCAATACAGCATCGAATTCGACGAAACACGGCTTGTTCCCCGCATCCGGCTTTCACGGATGACAGCCACTCAGTGAAGAGCGACAGAGGCGAGCAAAGTAGACGTAATTGGAATCAAACTGATTCAGCTGATTGCCGCGTTCCGGCGAACAGCAGTTTGTGTGCAACTCGTTTGACGACAACAATTAAGTTTGATTCACGGAGTAGTACAAAACGCTGTTTATCTGTGACTTCTGCTTATGCTCCCACCGAATGTAGTTCCAATCCTGACAATGACACATGCTATCACGCACTGAACGCGCTAATAGTTCGAATATTACAGTACTTGCACGGGACATGAACGTACAAGTAGGGCGTATGAGCTCTACAGAAGCACAGCTGGGTGGTAATTATGAACTTAATCAAACGGATTGACAACGGCGAGTATCTGCTGCAACTGTGTGCGGAGCACCAGATGTTTGTTAATATCACTGCTTTTAGACACCGTGGGCGCCGAAGTGCCACTTGGTGTCCTCCTGCAGCTGGCCAGCGATGTAACCAAATTGATTACATTGCCACAAGTTACAGGCGGTGTGGTTCCACCTTGGAATGTCGCTCGTTCGATTCTGAACATGCCTTGGTACGCTGTCGTTTCTCCATGAACTTTATCGGAAGGCGCACCAAGCGTCTCCCCCGATTGGCAACAGAGAAATTGTCGCAGCTCTCGGTTAGACAAGCCTATCAAGACGCGCTACGTACCGAACTTTCGCTGTCTTGTTCTAATGACACTGAGCTTCAGTGGAATAAGATTTCGGACGCCATGCACGACGCAGGAGCATATGCTTGTGGCACTATCAATAGTCATCGCACCAGTCACTGGATCTCCGACAGGCCGGTGAACCTGTTGGAATCTAGAAGAAACCTCCCGGCTGACTATGAGCACATTGTGACCGGACGGGCTATTAGGCGCGAATTAAAGCGGAACCTGCGTGCTGACAAGGAAGTCTGGTGGACAAGTCGGGTTCAAGAAATGGAGGAATCAGGAGCAGTAGGCAATTACTGCAAGATCATCCAGCTTATCCGCACCACCGGTCCCAGAAAACCAGACGTCAGTGAGACATAAAGAGACAGCACGGGTGCACTGACACACAATAAGGAGCGCCGTGAGGCTGCTTGGGTGGAACACTTTCGAGATCAGTTCAGCTGGCCCCCTGCTCCCGGACCTCTTCTTACTCAGATGATGCAGGACGAGCAATGGACGATTAGTTTGGAGTCTCCATGGGAGGCGAGGTCCGAAACGTGATCACAGCCTTCAATCGTCTACGTACCACTGGCCCAGATTCCTTGCCACCTGCACTATTGAAGGATGAAGGTGAGGTCTTCTGCAAAGCATTGACCTCCATATATGTGAACATATATGGAAAGAAGTATCCCGGCTAACTGGAGTGAATCGATTATAGTGGCAATAAACAAGAACCGCAGTGGCACAGACTATACTAACCACAGGTATGTTAGCCTAACGCCAGTTGTGATAAAAATACTGGCCTCGATTCTCGTTCGTCGCCTCAACGTGGGACGTGGATCACGGAGTAAGGAAGAGCAAACACGTTTCCGTCTAGGACGTGGCTGACTGATCGTATATTCATTCTGCGGTAGGTGCTAGAGCAGCGCCACGCATACCGCAGACCGACAACAGCTGTGTTTCTCGATTTCAAGTGTGCTCGATTCAGTCGATGGATGCATTCTGTTCGAAATACTTGCGCAGAAAGGTGTTCCCATGAGATAGGCAGACATCCTGCGTGCTCTATCCTCGAAAACCATAGGCTGCGTCATGGTCTACGGTGACCTGTCGGATAGATTTCCGACAACAAGTGGCGTTCGTCAAGGTTTTCCGATTTCTCCGTTTTTTTTCAATTTCGTCATGGACTCTGGCTTGCCGAACAATCCCTCTTGGTACCATCTGGGTGGTTCGAGATTTTCCTGTTTCAGCAAATGGTTCGGCGGCAGTGTTCCAGGACGTGGTGGGTTTTCGGCTGGCAAGCGTTCTCCCTATAAAAAGCCATATATGTCCGTTTAACAACACTGTGACGTGGCGGACGTGACTCGCCACTAACTAAAGTCACTGCCCCTTGCTTCATCCTGGCGAAGCATTGTATTCCAGTAAATTTATTCTGTAATTCTGTGGAGCATTGGGCCCCTGTTTGAAAAAAGGAACAAACGAAAGGCGCATGAACTGAACAATCAGTCACCGGCTCCCAATGGGCGCGATTCCCTGAATTCGCTCCGCTGTCTTGCGGACAGGCTATTCAGCCAAAGTCTCAGGGTGGTGTCTTCTAAGTTAACACCCTAATTCGGCTTGGGCAACCGGGTGGTATCTTGTACTCTGACGAAACCATGGACTTTGATGTTTTGTGTTGTGTTTTCTTTTACTATTTCTGTACCTTCTTTTGAGTCCCATGGCTTTCTGTTTATTCGTAGACCGTCGAATATATATATATATATATATATATATATATATATATATATGGTTTCCTTACGGAATCCCACGATGTAGGCATTGAAGACCTGTCTGGTGAAAGGTTTGTTGGTATTGATTATACGGACGATATCGTTTTGCTTTTTGACGGTGCTGGGACGGCCCAGCCGACACTGAATAGAGTGATCCCACTAATTGGTTTGCGTTTGGCATCTCCAAAGTGCAAAATGTTGCTGCAGGACCACCAGCCACCTGGTGGTCCCTTAACCCTTGAAAACGAGGAGCTCGAGGTGGTCGATCGATTCAATTACCTTGGCAGCTGCGTCAGCAACGATTGGCATATAGAAACTGAAGTCAGTTTACGCATTACAAAAGCCAGAAGTGTCTTCTTGAAACTGCGGCATCTTAGACAACAGAAGGAAGTTTCTACCTATTTGAAACGCCGTGTATATAAGGCTACAGTGAGAACCGTCCTGCTCTATGGTAGTGAGACGGTCGCTTCGATCTGAAGATCTGAGGCACCTTCAGGTCTTTGATTATCGTCGTCTGCGGAACATTGCTGGTGCCCGCAAGGATGATGTGCGTAGGCAAGTACTACGCAGTGATAATCATGCCAGCTCCTTAGAACAACAGATAGCAATTAATAATTTGCGTTGGCTTGGGCACATACTACGTATGCCCAATCACCACTTACTGAGCAGGGCCTTGTTTTGTTTGCCAGATGTAGGGTGGCGCAAAGTTCGAGGTGGAAGTAAGTTGACTTGGTAGCTGGAAATAAAGTCACTGACAACC